TGCTGACATTGCAATCTGAGAAAGAATTATAGCAGAAAACAGGACATACTTCACTTAGCAGTAAGAAAATGGCACATTATAAATATATATATATAAAATTTGGTACAGGGCCTCACTACACAGCTCAGAGTTTTAGTGTTTCTCCTGTTTCCGCCTCCCCAGCACAGGGATTACAGACATGTGCCACCACATCTCATGGCATGGCATGACATGGCATGTGGTACCGGGGATCAAACCCAGGTTCTTGCCTTGGCAGGACATGCTTAGACCACCAAGCTATCTCCCCACCCCAGATAGTCTGTTTTCTATCAGCTTTGAGGTGCAGTTTTCCTTATATATAGTTGGCAGTTTATCTTTGTTTTGTTTCTTTTTTTATTGTATTGGGAATTGAACTCAGGACCTTGAGCTTGCCAGGTAGGCACTTTTCCACTGAGCTATATCTCTGGCCCTAGTTTTTCTTTCAGCACTTTGAATATATTTTCTTTTTTCTTTTTTTTTTTTTTTTTTGGCAGAACCAGGGATTGAACTCAGGCCCTTGTGCTTGCCAGGAAAGCGCTTATTCCACTGAGCCATCTCCCTGGCCCCTGAATATATTTTCTAATCCCTTCTGGTGTGTAAAATCTCTGACCAGTAATTTGATAATCTAACATGAATTTCTGTGTATGTGATGAACTGTTTTTAAGGTTCTCTTTTTTATTTCGTTTTTTAAGATTCTCTTTTTCAAATACTGTACTGTAAAGGTTCTTTTAGTTTTGATTATCATGTTCCTCAGTATTCTCTGAGTTTATCCTGACTGGAGTATTTTAAACTTTAAATTTGATTTTCTTTGATTTGGTAAGTCCTAAGTTACTTTTTCTTCAGTTAAACTTCCAGTCACTTTTCTTTTGTAGCATGTATAATATGTGGTATAATGATTCAATTGATAGTGGTGTTTGTTTGTTTGAGACATATCTCACTCCATAGGCTAGTTCAGGCTGGCTTTGACTTCTCTATGTAGCCCAGGCTGACCTTGAACTCGTGGTGATCCTTCTGTCTCCGCCACCTGCATGCTCCATGACAGGTATGCACCACCACATCTGGTGCTAGTGTCTTTTACCTTTTCTTTCTTTTTTTTTTTAATTATTTATTTATGTGTGTGCGTGCGTGCGTGTGTGTGTGTGTGTGTGTGTGTGTGTGGCCAGCTCAGCCCACCAGGGGGCGGGGCTGGCTGGCATGTGGTGCTGGGGGATTGAACCGTGGTCCCTTTGCTTTGCTAAGCTTGTTCTAAGTAGGTGCTTTAGACCACTGAGCCATCTCACCAGCCCCACCTTTTCTTTTTTTTCCTCTCTGAGGCAAAGTTTTGCTGTGTAGTTCAGTGTGGTCTTGAACTCACTACATAGCCCAGGTTGACCTCAGACTTGCATCATTCCTCGTGCCTTAGCCTCCTGAGTGCTGGGATTATAGGCAGGTGCCTCCAAACACTCTCCCTTACCCGTGGTGTCTTATAAAAATCTTTGTTCTCATTCTTCCTTTGATTCTACCATGTCAGAGTATACCTATCTTGAGTGTGCAGATTTTCTTCTGCTTGAACGTGGTATTGAATTCTAGTTCCAGTTGTGCTTTTCAGTTTCAGAAATTCTAATTGTTTATTAAAGGTTTTTTTTTCCCCCTTGAGAATAAGCTTGACCTCTGTGTAGCCCCAGCTGGTCTCAAACTTGCAAGTCTGCTGTCCTCAGTCATTCTATTCCTAGTATTATAGATGTGTACTCCTGTGCCTGCTTGAATTTTTCATTTTGTTCATGCATTGTTTTGTTTGTTTAGTTGTATATTTGTGCTTTCTTGTAGATCACTGAGTTTCTTTAAGATAATAGCTGGATGTGGTGGCACATACCTATAATCCTAGCACTCTAGGAAGCTATGTGTGATTCAAGTTCAGCCTAGGCAGTTTAGAGACTTAGCATGACCTTATCTTAAAAAACGAAAAGAGCTAGAAATGTAGTTTAGTGTGAAGGTCCTGGGGTCAGTCACCAGGACCATGAAATATTATAGGAAAGGGCATAAGGACATACAATGTGAATTGTGCTCAGTCTCATAGTGCCACTGAATAACAGAAGTCTTTGTCAGGCTAATCATAGATGTCAAAATTTTTTAAGGGCTCATTTGCAGAGATTTGGACCCTTTTATTAGGCTATTTGTGTGCTTTGTTTTACACATTTGAAAAACCTATGTCTCTTTAAGTCTTTGCAGACTGGCTTCATAATGACAGCCTTTCCAAATTATCTTAGCTAGAGATTTTAGGGACCCTTTGGAGGTTGTTTTGTAACCACTCTGGGAGGGCATCTAGTTTGTCAATTGTAGAGGTTTACTTTTTTTTTTTTTTTTTTCCAGGAAGTGTTTGAATCCTCTGGTGTCTGTCGTATTTCAGATTCTGTTGTGCTGTAATAAATTACCCTGTTCTTTATTCTTTGCTGCCTTTAAGCAAAACTGGTATCATCCCTGGGGCAGTTCTCTGAAAAAATCTGAACTTAGAACATTGCTCCAGTCTTCTCTTCCAAAGGAGAGGTCATGAGTTTGTGCCTTTTCTGATTCTAAAGCCTCTTTTTTTTTTTTTTTTTTTCTAAAGCCTCTTGTATTTTAGATACTCTGGTTTTGCAATAGACTTTGTTTTCAGCCACCCTAGGTATCTTTAATTATGTTAAGTAAAACAAAGTATCCATGGGGCAACCTTTTGACTAGCTAAAATGCTGAGTGCTTGTTCTCTTTTTTTCTTTGCTTTCTCACATCACTACCCCTCAACCCATATTTTACAGCAGGAAACTGACATTGGATCTGAGCTATGTTGGCCTGGGGAAGTGGCAATCATTGATAAAGGGTTCTTTTACTCTTTTTGGTAGTTCTTATCTCTTTTCTTTTTTCTTTTTTTTTTTTTTGGGCGGAACGGGAGATTGAACTCAGGCCCTTGCACTTGCCAAGGAAGTGCTGATTCTACTGAGCCATCTCCCTGGCCCTTATCTGTCACCTGAGATATTGCAGCCTCCTAATGTGGTTCTTATCCAAGTTCACCTGTGGTATTGCAACCTTAGTTTCTGGGGTTCTCATAAAGATGTATTGATCAGTATATTATTAATTGAACATCTCTTTGGGGGAATA